AATAGTAAATAATGTATAAGCTATCAAAATAAAAACTTTTTAATATCATGTTGTGCAATCTGAACAATTAGGTTAAAAGTCCTATTCATATTTATCAAAGTTTCACTATTTTTATTAATTAAATCGTCAAAGGCAAATCAGTTGTAATAAACGAGAACACAAGTGGAGCTAATCAATTGTAATTTTAATGGCTAAGATCATGAGCCAGTTGAAACTAGACCACCATGGAAAACCTGGAAGCACTGGACGGCCGTTTCATCCTATTGTGGGATTCCTCAGCAGTGCGCATCGACGGTCTCACCTCGCGAGATTAGAACCCACGACCTATCAGTCTCGCGCTGGAGCACCTGACCACTAGATCACTGAGCCGGTTGGCATTCAACGGCGTTAATATCTAACTTTAACTAATCCACGAAATCGAGCGACACATCCACTATTATCTTCAGTGAGTTACTATCTCATAACAGACCCGATTAATACACAAAAACTGAGATTTTTCATAAACGATATAACCATTAAATTACTATGAATACTTTATAAAAGTAGAAATGGAAATTTTCTGCAATACTTCTAGCATTTACTTTTGATAAAATTGAAAAACATAAAAAGTCATGATTTGGATCATAGATAAGCCGAACATAATTTTACTCATGATTATTGAATAACTTTGAAATAGTAGTCTATAAGAATATCAAGTTTTTCAATGTGCTTTTTTTTAAACCTTAACTTCTCAGGCATTAGTTTTATTAATGTTAGTTACTGGAAAGAATTATCTTATTCAAGTCTGAACGAAGTAATCACTTATTGTTACTAGCAGTTTGGTTACATAATCCTGAAAACCGTTATGAAGTATTTACGTATTTAAACCACTTACTACTTATATAAGCATATCTAATTTATATTACATTATTTATCCATTAAAAATAGTACTATTTCACACAAAGCGACCAGATAAGCAATTAGGCACTTTGTAGAAATAATTTTTTTCGTATGTTAACTGTCAAATACACAACTTTTAAACAGCAGGGAAAAACCGTGCGTAGCATTAAATCAGTAGAAATATAAACAGAGGAATGAAAAAATAACCACTGTATTTGTAATATCCCAATGAATAGAAAAATTAAATTTTCTGACGTTTTGTGTAAGCCACTTCTTCAGAGGATAAATAAACAAATCAAAACTATTCCAAGTTTAAATAGTACAAAAGAACAATACAAAAATATTATGTGCGATCAATAAAAAAATATCTGAATATATCACTCTCATGTCATTTCAGTCAATGTGATTTATGAGCGCATGCATGTAAATTTGTGTGTGTGTGTGTGTGTGTGTGCAAGGTCAGGGATCAGAAATGTGATCTTTCTGGTACGAAAGGATAGAGTTTAGTTTGTATGTACGATAATATTATGAAATGTGAATGATATCAGACATGGTAGCTGGGATTAATAGTCCAAGTTGGATGTATAGAGAGGCCTTCTTTTCTATTGAGAGCAGTATGATTAATCATTATACAGAAAGCTTCAGCTACTCTCCTTTCTTTGTAGTTGAAAAAACCTTTTGTGATATTTCGACGTTTTTGAAATCGATTTGGTGGTTGTTGAAAACGGCGTGAATTGATATTGCCGATTTAATTTTAAGTCCAAGTTCTACGGGATTATTAAGTGGTTTCTTTAAGTATCTAACATGTTCTTTGGTTCGAGTGAAGATTTCTCGAGACGGCTCTCCAATATAGAAGGCATCACAATCGACATATCCTAATTTGTAGATACAGTTCTGTGTTGACATAAAGGGGAGTTTTTATTTTAAGCAAACTAAAGTATTTCAAAGTGTGTTCGTTGTTTTTTAATATACTTTAATTCTGTGTTGTTTTAAGATTCTTTGGAGTTCTGTTGTACCGTGGTGGTATTATTATTTAGCAGTGAAACGTCTCGTTTTAATACACTTCTAATAACTCTCATAAGGAATTTATTAAAGTGTAAGATGTTAATTACATGCTTTCGTTCTTTTTGTTTATCCTCATTAGATGTGATAATCTTGTTAGCTCTTCTAAAAAGATTTAGGGCTAGCGAGATCTTTTCACTGAAAGGATGTGCTGAATTGAAGTCAATATAACGATCAGAGTGTGTAAGTTTTCGGTAGATGGATAGATTTGGAAATCCATTTAGATTTCTTTTCACTAAGCAATCTAAAAATTGTAGCTCACCATGTTCATTTCATTCTCGTTCGTTAATTTAATGTGAGATGAAGGTGTATCGACCTGTCTCGAAAACGATCTTGGATGAGCCTTTTTATGACAATAAAGCTGCTATCTACATATCTAAGCTAAATTTGTGGTTTAATGTCATTGGCGAAGATATTGGACTCTATGTATGCCATAAACAGAAAAAAATTATCTAGTCAAACCTTGGTAATGATACCTATAGTGGTATTATTGGCCCAAAAAGTAATTTACTTATTAAAAAAGTACTTCAGAACAAGTTTGGGACAGTGAAATAAAATTTGTTTATGTAACGCAAATTAACTGGTTATTACTTTTCTTTCGTCTCTCCGTCTTATGAAATAATTATTACGTTAAAAGTAATTCTTAGCAAATAAAGAGTAAACATAAATAATTGACTAAATAACTAAATCTTGTGTTGAAAAGTACAACAGTGTGTCAGGCGGGTGACAAACAATTTGTCAAATCCGTAAACAATAATCTTTATTCATCTTGCATTGGGTGTCTGAATCTTTCTGTTCACTTTTAGGACTCCGAATGATTTGTCTCCTAGTGGTATATATGCATCCAGCGCGGATTGTTTCCATATTCCCTTAAATCTCAAGAATTATAAGCAGAGATGGATAGTAGCTCACAAGTCCAAAACAGGGAGAATTGCGAGTCTTGGGTTTCTCTACTAGCCACTTTCCATCTCTGCTTATAAATCACTCTTAATTATTACGAAAAGATTTGTTAAGTCATTTAAATAATAATTTTGAAAAGATAAGCTTCTTCAGAAAATTTTAATTTAAACTTTCGGTCTATAAACACAATTTTTCTGAATTTCACAAATCGACCATTGAAAATATATAAATTATCTTTCCTCTTAAATCAGAACTGGATGATAAATAGAATACAAGACTAAGTTAAAAAGTAAATACTTGATGTTACTCTCTAAAATTATTTACTGCATTTAATTAACCAATTTGTAATACATCACTTACTCCCGCGTGCGGGATCGTGGATGCGCACTGCTGAGGAATCCTACAATGAGACGAAACGGCCGTCCAGTGCTTCCAGGTTTTCAATGGTGGTCTAACATCAATCGGTTCATGATCTCAATCAAATTATCTCAAATAGTTATAATGATTCCAAAAAATAAAAGTAAAATAATGTCTACTTTTAAAAATACGATTCAGTATGTTTTATTCATATTCTCATGATAATGCAAACTATTTGTTTCTAATTCCTTTTACAATCATTGAAATTATTCAATTGGGATTTTATTGAATAATTGAAAAAAATAATAAACGATATCTAAAGTCTATTTTATACAGTTTTATTAAAACAATTAAAATTATCTATAAGTTTCTTACAGACAATTTAACATGATGCATACTTTAAGGTTGGGGATAATTCATCTAATTCCTTATTTGGTATTAACCATTTGATAAATAAAAATAAAACTTAAAAGAATAATCATTTGTACTGTTTTTTTGGATGATAACCATAATATTTCTAACATTTAATGTCCGTTTCAGTATTTTGTTTAGTAAAAACCAACACGTTGAACCAAATAAAGTATGAGTAAGAAAATGAGTAACATTGCACATTTAGGTATTGTATATGATGAGTCTACTTTTACAACATTTTGAAATTTAAATTGTTACTGAATACACTAAGAATAACAAAAGTAAGTGTGATTTAACAGTAGTGACTATCTAGATACTTACATTCACATCGGTTATACTGTGGTGTGTGCTACTGATGTTGACAGATATAAGTAATGCGTATCATCATTTGAAAGTGAAATGCCTAAAGGCAGAAGGTTAAGAAGATCAAAGAAAAGAGAACGAGAACAAAGAAAAATTGCTTCGAAAACGAAAAAACAATGTAGTCTGAGACGATTGATTAACACTTTGCAAATGAAGTATTTACTGTATGTTTCTCATATTCCGCTAAGATGTTCTGTAATTTTGTCTTCACTTGTGTTCTCGTTCACTATAATACTGTTTACACTGGTTAACCAATCACCATTCATTTTTATCGACTCCAACATAATATAACAAGATAAATTTTCAAAATGTATCAGTTTTACTAAGTCTCATATCTTTACTTTCTAGATGTATGTTTCTACTGAATATGAATAAATAGACATAGACTAGAAAGCACATGTAATAAAAATAACCTTGAAATGTATGAAACAATTTGAAAATAAGTATTGTTATAAATTAGCTGGCAATAGTGAATCGTTGATAATAATAATAATACAACATGAAGTTATGTTAATTCATATTTTCCACAGCACAAATTTACGGGATCTCATGTGACTAACCAAATATTTTAAAGTCGATAGTAAATGTATATTTCGTTTAGTCAAAATATAATTGGAGAAAAGTGCATTCGTGTATACCTTTATAAACTTCGTCAAGCAATATAACATGTACTCGGTTCGAATATAGTATGCCTGTGAAGAAAGAAATTCAACACATACTATAATAAATCAAGTAATATTGATTTTCTTTTAATAATATTAAGCTTGATATTGTTGAAATATTCAATCGAAGGTAAACAATAATAAAAACAAAACAGAACAATGATAACAAAATATTTCGTTGTTAGACTTATTATACAGTAAGAATGTTGATGAAAACATTGGGTAATTGGCATGACTAACAATTTAGTACAGTTAAAATGTATATTTCACACACATAGTTCCCTTTATTATCTTTAAGAGAGCAAGAACAAAGATTGGTGCTGTCTTTTATTAATTTATTTCGAAACTAAAATAAACATAATTTAGTGTAAATGAACGACTTTTAAGTTGTTTTCTGTAAACAGTAAGATAAAAATGGTCACATAAAAGCTAAAGTTTACTAATGAATTGGACCCGATTGATAAGAACATTAGTTTCTTCTGACTAATTAATCGTCCATAAAGCTTACCTGGTAAGTTAATTTTGGATAAACATTTTTGGATTCTTCATACTACGTATTATATAATATGATTTAATCTATTTTCCTTATAGAGACATGACATCTTTGTCATCATTTTAAGATGAAAACAAACACAATACTAATTTGTAGATATCATTGATGGAACTAAAACACTGATGTCTGATATATAGTCATAATTTACGATAACTTTTTCACTAATGTAGTCTATAAAATAGTGTTGCTAATCATATTTTCAAAAGATATGAATTATGCACTGATTAATTGAAAAAAATCACTGACACAACATAAACCCAGTTTCTTACGAAACCGATAATGACTAGTTTTAACATTTATACGTACAAAATTCAGAATGACATACTTTTTCATATTACGAATTGCAAACACTCGATCTTTATCCTTAACAAGGAACTATTTGGAATACATACTGTGGTTATAGTGGTGAAGTAATTGTATGCTAAACCATTTTTATTAGATTTTCTGTTCTCTTTTGAAAGCTTAATTAGGATTCCTAATTAGTATAAAGCAGTCGAAATTCTTACAGATGACTTGTATTCATCTCACTACTTCACTAAGAGTTAATGCGAAATATTTATTAAGGTGATCATTCACTACCTTTAGCGAATACATTCTATCATAGTGAAATATGAGTGATTACTTTACATCATCTTTTGTAAATTCTCGGGGAAAAAATAAAATATAGAACTAACTAGTACACATAGAGATAAACTATTAAGAGTTATTGACTCACCATCAAATACAATATTCATCGTTCAGGAGAAGCAACAATATGATGAACATCAGATGTAATAGTTCACCAAGATTTTTATGATTGTATAATTACGCTTTGTCATTACTTTTATACAGTCAATTGTAAAAGGCTACAATAACAAAGATATTTCAGTTCCGAGAACCATTGGTATATCTAATTAAATTACCTTGATTTATTAAACAACTAGTGTCTGATCATGTAAATAATATACCTACAGATAACATTTGTATTTTAATTAGTTCATAACTACCATACTTAACACTGAAATCTTGTTTCATTTTCAAAGAGATGCGAAAATATTTTATTCGTACATAACTGCACAAAATATTTATGAAGTTTAATACTATCAGCAGGTTTCTACAGAACCATTTACTAGCTCGAACTATGAATTGATATACATGTGTATTGATTCCGATCAGTCAGGTAGAGTAATTAATCAGAAGAATAGCAAGTTAATAATGATAGAAAATACAAACGGTATCACTACGGTTCTATATGAGACTAGTTTAAAAAGTCACGTGTTAAAAGGGAAGGTAAATGTAGTAAGTATCTAGATAACTGACACATTAGAAACAAATGAATTAAACATATAAGCCAATTTATGCTTTTAAAAATAGGTAGGCGAATGATTTTTTCTTTCAATAAATCCATGTTTATTTCACATCATTTATGCCATCCAAAGGCCTAAATAGCATAGTGAAATTGAATTCACTGAATTATTTTCAATCTCATTGTATTTTATTCTGGAGGCATTACGTAACCAACTGAGTAGTAATATTAAATGAATTTCTTTTGATATAACTTGCATAACTTTTCTCTTCATTGTTACTCTATTAAAGTAGATAAAATTAAGGTAGATGCCATTAGCTAATTTGGGACTTCTAAACAATAACTAAACATGGTTATAGCTGATTTTAGACAAAAATGAAAATCAGATACAGTATTGTTATAGATATCGAAATGTTATTTTTTTGTAATTGGCAAATCAACGAATTCGAACCGTATCTACATAAATTTATGATTCCCAATTTTCTTCAGAATATTTCATAATATAACTTAATTATTGATAGTAAAGCAAACTGAAACAAGTAATTAATTGTTTTAAAAGTTTTCAAATTTACTGAATAATTTAACCATCATCACAGGTTAAAACTCCGCCTGGAGCCCCTCTAAAGCTACTGCCAATCTCCAACCCGGATAAAGGAAGAAGGTTGGGTATTGAGTTAGCAAACCCATCCCATAGAAAACTAACTCGCTAAAAATAAACGTTAACCAGAAAAATAATATCACAGGTTAAAAGCATATCCTTCATTCATGTTGAATACTGTGATTCTTTTTAATGAACAACACTTATAGTATCTATGACATTTTATTGATTATTTGAAAATAGATATTTTCCAATAATGTTAAATGGTCAATTAATTGAGTTATCAGACTAATGAAATTGATTATTTCAATAAGTGATTTAAATAAACCATAATAATTATTTGTTTTAGCCAGTTATCGATTATATAAATCAGATATTTTAAGTTGATTTGACAATTCATATTTATATTTTAATTGTTGTATACATAGATTTCAAAACGCCATTTTATTAATTAAAGTATTTCATATAAGAAATTTATTTCTACTCACTTGAATCAACCACAGAACGATTGAAGCCAAACTTATCATTTTGGTAGAAAAGTTTCAATGTAAATAAATCAATGAAATATGAGCTAATTAAGAAGGATTCTAATACATATTAGAGGTATATGCCTCATTATTTTTTACTAAAGACAATAATTAAGTGAAGTATCATCTGTGTATAATAAAGTTGATTGATGCAAGTAAGGGTTTACAGTAACTAGTGATTAACAGAAATTGTTTAAGTTATTTCAGCTTATTTGTAAATTGCATAATTATCTGTCGTGTACAAAATAGTCGAAGGAAGTCAAATATGTGAGCTATAATGCAAATCAAAATGCTTTTTTCGTAAAATAAATGATAGTTCAATACGATACCTGAAGATAGTGAACGAAATAAGCTGTGTACACCAACACTACACTGTATAAAATTCTTAGGAATAGAATTTCATTCAGCTGGATACCCAAATGTAAATTTTTCACAGATTGATATTCTTTGTAAATGAAATTTTTTTCTTAAGATTTAAAGAATAATAACATTTATTGATAACATTCACAAATAAGTCGAAGGAAATTTTACATAAACCCCGTTTTCACATATGGAAAGTCTCTGCTCTTATTGTTGTAATAGTCATGTTAGAGTACAATATCAAAAAATTTAATAATATAGAAAAAAAATTTGAAACAGTTTAAACATATAATCTCAAACAATTATTATTTTCACTTGGTATTGTTTTACTTGTAACTTTTCATTGTTGTTTAGGATTGATGTTCACTTTAGGACTCGAACAAAGGACCGTTTGCTTCAAAAGCTACTGTGTCCTGATTATTATTTTGAATATACTATTACATCGAAATAATTTCCACTGAATTCAGTTTTAATTCGTCTTTGGTAATATAACTTGTCTATCCTCGGTTCAGCAAAGAATTCAGCTAAATATTTTCTAATATAAAATTGATTGATCACTGGGTGGTGATGTATGTCAGGTCTTTCCTATTGCAGATCCAGCAAACATAATTCATGACAAATATACCACTCTATGTGTGTTTCTCAACCTATTGTTCTTCTGTGTTCTATTAAGTCTAATTTAAGCCTACAAATATGTTACACCAAAGTACTTTAAAAAGTTATAGTTAGTTGAATGTAGTTAGTTGGGTATTTTACCGTGATTCAAAGACATTAATTATAGTTATGACCACAACAACTTTAGAGAGCATATTTATATGATTTTCAAAGAAAATATCAAGGCATTTCCATACAAGTAATTTATTCAGATGATATGCATTTTATATCATTTCATTTTTAGCATTGATCTCAGAAGAATTATAACAGATAAGACTTTTTAAAACATAAACTAACAAACTAGCAGAAATTAGGCGCCAAATACGTGAAAGAGATTATATGTAAAATTATATTTGAAATAATGTAAACTTTTGATTGTTAGATAATTCCATCGTCTATTCAGACAAATTGATTTGAGGTTCTTCACAGAAATAAACAAAATTTTGATTATTTAAGAAAAAACTTAATATATAAATATAAAACTCATGTTAGTTACTTTAGTAACATATTTTATAGACCATAATTGCATCAGCAATTTAATAAACTGACTATGTATATAAAAAATCCTCTGGTGTACATAAGATACGGATATAGGATATTAGATTCTATCTACAACATTATTTAGGATAATAAGTTCTATGAATAAATTTCTAAAATGGAAAACATGTAATGTCTCAATCACTTTAAACCCGCAACTGGTAAATTAAACATCCTTGTTTATTCCATTTTCCACAAGTTAATTAAAACATTCATTTAATAAAAATTGAATAATTGAATTCATGAGTCAATTAAAGCTAGACCACAATGGAAAACCTGGAAACACTGAATTGCCGTTTCGTCCCGGTATGTGGCTCCTCAGCAGTGCGTATCCACGTTCCCTACCCGGGAGATTTAAACTCAGGACCTATCGATCTCGCACGTGAACGCTTAACCTTTAGACCACTGAATCGGTTTCGAACGGTGTTAATGTTTAACTTCAAACTATCCACGAAAATGAATAGCTGATTCAAAGTAAGTAACTTCTATATTATATATGTATGTTAAACTATCATTTGACTCAGATATGACGAATAGGGATTCTCTTTTAGTGTACATGAAATATTATGAAACGTTTATTAGTTCGTGTGGACCTATGAACATTTAGTAAACATAATAATGTGGCAGAACTATTTTAATACTGGCTTAGATAGTATCAGTAATAAAAATACAAACTTTTATAATTTTTACATGATGTATGGAAGTGAAGAAAAGATGTGAAATCAACAAATTTTAATTAAACTGTCAATGAAGTGAGATAACTAGTGTTTTCTCGCCGTAATTGAAGAGAGAAGCGAGTTTAAATAAACATCATATCAAGTTCCATAAAACCTACCTCAGGGAGCTAGATTACGGCTACTCTACATAGCCGAAGCTATCTGGATCAACTGCGGAAAACCAAACTTATGTATCCAGAAAAGGTATATCCAGCCTCTATGTTTACCTTGGTCTACGATTAAACCACCGTATACCCAAACTGAATATTATAAACCTCTTA